CTCAGTGAACCAAATAAAAAATGTTAAAGATGCACAATTCATACTCAAACGTTTATTGATACAAAAAATATATAATAATAATACATTAATAGTTATTCCACGAACGTGCATTCAATATGTACGAATTTTCTATTTTGAATACTTGCAACCTATATATAGCATATGTATACAACTAAACAATATTAGAAAACCACAGAACGAACTTAACTGATTGTTTTCTGATAAAATTGTATCAATCGAGTTGTTGCACACAATTATAATATTTTAATTATAATTTAACTATCTTTATAAATATTATATTAATATAACGTTGATATAAATGAAAATCGGATAATAATGCATAAATTATGTGAAATGGTACACACATTTATTTATCTTAATTCATAGTTTGTAATAATTATTAGGTCTTATTTTTGAAAAATAAAAATACATTTATTCAAAAATGTATGCGTCGATTAACTGTGATTAATCACGTGTTCAATAATTATTAGTCAAAGTAGGTATCATTTGACTCCACTCTATGTATGTATGTACCATGTACGTAAGCATGTATAATGTCTATGTATGCAAATCAATATTATTGTGACTGTCACGTTAATGGCTCTTATCAATATTATTTTTAACTGTGACATTCTACATATGTTATAACATATATTAAAATCAACGTAACTAGAGTATAGGTACACTATATTTTGTTGTAAAAATGCTATTGAACAATTTTTTTTGTATAATTCTTTGAACCACTCACATTACAATGCTCCATATCATGACAAGGGCGAATGCGTTAAGATTTATGTGGTCTATTCATACAGCAGTATGCTGGCCGGTAGGTAGTTACGTTATGTATGTACGATTCTCCATCGATGGATTTTTCCTTGTTATCGATGTAGAGTGGCTTGGTTGATAAAGGCAGTTGTATTGGGAATGTGCGTTTCGCTCTTGATGAACTTACATTCCCTCATTTTGTTGGGTTTTCCCTATCTGGTAGATTGTTTGATAGTTATTGTGGATCCTAAAGAGGACTGTTTTTGTTGGTGGGGGTTATAATTTACCACTGCATACATTGGTGCATACAAAACACAGCACTTAAAACGATTAAAATAAAACCTCATATTTCCTTTGGCCCCTTCCTCCAAATTGAACACCTATTGACACTCAACCCCGATAAATGTCAGACATACCTATTTAACTAATAAATTATCAAATAGGTACATCTCATAACTATGTAAAATATTCAGAACAAGTTTAAGATGGTCGTTAATATTTGTTCAAAAAATCTCAAGTAATCTCTACTAATTTGCGTGGCTAAGCTCTTTTAATTTAAATTTTAATAGCACCACAAATATTTCCTAATTTTTTCAGCCCCTACCCCACATCTCAAACGCTGCACTTATGTTTATACATCACTTTGACTTTAAACTGGTCTATCTTATCCAACCACGTTCGGATTTTTAGATCGAACTACGATGTTTCTAATAATTGAAGTCGGGGTTTAAATAATAATGACAAATGTCTGTGAATTCAAAACAATATTTCACCGATAAAATGTTCTGGTATGTATCGACATTCGGTATATAAATCGTGTTTGTCAACACCGTCGAAGAATCAAAGCCTTTAATTTGAGCATGTTGATAAACACTCGTCTCAAATACACGATTACCCACAGGCCACAGATGACAACTACACTATAATAAACAATATCATATTCAAACTAGAGACGAACCGAACCGTATAGGTACGTCAGAGGCGTATAATAACGCAATGACATCAGAAGATTAAATGCACTTCATTAAAATACGACGTAACGGTATAAATGATATATTATACAACTCGGATAAAGTTATTGCTCTTTCAAATCTACTCTTCGGCTCGTATACACTCAAAGGAATACCCCACGGCGATTATCTATATAAACAAAAAAACGATTCTATAGTTTACTATTGTGCGTTTGTACAAGGAGAAAAATCCCTAGGTATATACGATGAATGCAATAAGTAATAACATTATGTTCTTTTATATGATGTAACCTTCGTGATTCGACCACGCCCACGATTGGCATTAAATCCACATTGGGAAAAAGTAGGATTATCAATTCGTCAGATTACAAATGTTTGATATCCACAAACAGGTGGTAGCTGATAGACCAAATTTATTATCTGTAAGCACGACCAAATAAAACCATAATACGAGTACAACTGAAAAATCTATTCATTTTATATCCATTATTTTATAAACGAAACCAAGGGTTTAAGAAGCTGAACTGCAAGCTTATGTGAGTGAAATGTCTAGGATTTTAAAAAGTGTAAGCTTTTTTGGAAGAAAAAAACATATATTTTTCAGGTATCTAAGGATTTCATTGTAAAATTATGTACTGTAATATATTTATACAGTTGAAGGTGATAGTCAAAAAGTTGAAACCCTTGACACAACTTTTTATTTTTAATATAAATTATATGGTATTTTAATGTCAACACGTATTTTTCATAATTGAATCTCATTAAATATTATTTATTAATTACAGTAAAAAAAGAATAAGGGGTTTTAGATAATCAACCAAATTTTACCATGCCTACTTATAAATTCTCTTCAGTATTTAATAAATTATTAGATAATTTGACAAATTAATAATATTGGAATACATTATGTATATATATTGTATAGATGTAATAACTAATAAATGTATGTTAATTCCGAGTATATATACGACATGCGTAGATAATAGATGCACTTTAAAGATGTATTAATCTATATATATAAGAATCTAACTTGATTTTGGAGACGAAGGAAACCGGTTTTGAACCCTCATTATGATAATAATAATTAACTAATTACCAATTATTTTCATATATTCACCGATAACGATGTCTGTTTCTTTTATTTAAATTTTTTTTTTATTTTATAATCATTGTATTATTTGTGTAACCAAAAAATAGTCTTATGATTTTAAATTAAATTATAAAAAAATAATTTCTTCCGGAGGAAGGTCGGGCAACTAGTATATTATAGTAGATATAAATAATTTTAGCAATATTAATAACTATTTAACCCTATTGTATAAGTTTAAATATTATTTTATTTTCGAATTGGAGAATCATATTTAAAACAAACAAATTATCATCAGCAAATGTAATGCAATTCATTATCTTTATCTATATATATAAGAATCTAACTTGATTTTGGAGACTAAGGAATCCAGTTTGAACCCTCATTATAATAATAATAATAATTAACTAATTACCATTTATTTTCATATATTCACCGATAACGACGTCTGTTTTTTTTTTTTTATAATCGTTGTATTATTTGTATAGCCAAAAAATAGTCTTATTTTTTTAATTAAATTATAAAAAAATAATTTCTTTGGGAGGAAAATCGGGCAGTTAGTATATTATATATTTTTAGCATTAAAAAAGACATTTTTTATTACTATCCATTACACCAAAAACTATTTCTCATTTATTTAAGTTTCATTATTATTCCGGATGAAATTAATTTCGCTCATATTGTGTACAAAGTATAAACACCAAAAAAACATACATATAACGGATAAATAGTGACAAGAATAACAAGCAAAGAAGAACAATGTGCTTTAAGTAAGTTTTATGGAATTAATGAATTATCATCTGTTACTAAAAACGGTTTTTATTCGTTTCTGTTTGAATATTGAAATAGATTATCTTACAGTTAATTGTATGACTTCTACTCTATAATTGTAATAAAACTTAGTACTTACACCATATTACATTTCTATATATTATTAAAATAATAAAAGTTATTACTAAAATTTATCCATACAAAAAATTGTTTTAATTTTTTTTATTCTTGAGTTATAAATAGTTTCTATAGTCATTAATATGGATTTAACGGCGAATTGTTTGATACATTAAAAATTAATATTATTTTTATATCACATGATCAAAATAAAGTTAGAAAATGTGATAAATAATAATATTCATAAACATTGTAGTTTTTATTTTTTTTTTTTATGTAGTTTGTATTTATTACTACTGATGTTTATGCAGTCTATACGTCGTATAGAAATATTAATTTTAATTTTATAAAAACTGTAAATCAATAAACATTTGAAAATGGATTTCAAAATCAAGAAATGTTCTCATAGAAAGCGCTTATGAAATTTTTTGAATAATACCGCATTTCAAATTAATAATAACAATACGAAAATGTCACAATTAATATTAAATTTGAATTAACGTGCGATGCCCGCTTAAATGCACATGATAATTTGACTCCAAGACGAAAATTAATTGCGATACAATATGTGTGTGATTTATATAATATTCAGTTAAACGTTTCAGCTGACCATGGCTGTGAAATAGCCACGATATAATTTTAGGCAGTTTCCCCTCTCATTGTAAAATTACAAATATTGAAATATGTTCGTGCGTTGTACCGCGATGGATGCTATAAAGGCTATAATATTGCTAATTTATAACATATACGTCACTTATATTTCATAATAAAAATTATCATTATATAGTCATTGTTCAGCAACTATAATAGGTATGAGTAACCATACATTAAGAGGCATAGCCTGCAATAGCGTTATTTTCCGGCATTCCCTGTATACATTTTAACACTTGATTAACGAAAATAATTATTACAAAAATGTTTTCATGATTATTATACGAAATACGATTGAAATTATTAAGTCGACTAAGGGGATTTAATGACACATATTTCCTATATAATATATATTAAATTACTATCACTTATACACATAGCACAATATTTACTAATTTAACCTTTTAAAATTACTATTCAAATTTGAGTCTATATTAATTGTGTATCAATTAGAATCGTTTTTTCTTGTGTTTTAAAAAGCTAATATCACATTTCTATGCATTAGACAGTTAGTCTGAATAAAAAATTTTTTTGATGCTCAAACTATAGGTACAATATACATACCTTAGTACAATAGTACCTAAATAATAATATACAAAGAATATGCTTTATATTAACTGTATGCTAGTAAAACTCACCCCAAATTTCTTCGACGATCTCGATCTCTTGCTAATTTGGCCCTACGTCTTAAACAGCATATCACCATTAACGCCAACAACGGAAAACCCAAAATACAGGATACCATTGGTATGATTATCTTCTCCGGCGTCACTATGAAATTATAAAGTACATTTGCATATAAGATTATTCCGTTCTTTGAATTTTTCATTTGAAATCTTACCCGTCGGATAAATAATTATGGTGGTAAACTTTTTGTTTTGTTGATCTATGCCAGTCGGAAATTCAGAACCACTTTGACTTGTAGACATTATGATGACAGGCAGCAGTTATAAGTTCCTGGAAAAAAAATATAATAATTGACAAAGTGTACAATATAGCTTATATAATATCTTAATTTAACAATTTAAGTATATTAGATTTTGGTTTTTTAAAGTTTAGCTGGTATTTCAATAAATCAATCACGTAGTATTTATAGATAAATATACCTTAGACTATAATTATATTATTTATTGTTTACATTATATTTTATCCCACTAAGATAATTTAGTCTGTGTACGCAACTCAATTTTATTGATATCGATAGTTAATACAACGATACAGGAAACATACACAGTAACGTCTTTAACGCCATACAGACTACGGTATAGAATAAAACACATGTGATAACAAAATGGGATGTTTTATTTTTATTGTAGAAGTAAACAAAATCATACCTACAAAAAATAGAAAATAAAAGTGATGGTAAAATAATAATAATTTATGGCACAATAATACATTATAAATTTCAACGTATATACGTTTTAGACATCGAGTTTTTTAAGCCATAATTTATATTTATACGATGTAAATAACGTTTTACACCACGGCGAAATTTTTACTCCTGTTAGGTATATACCAAAACGTATAATACGGAAAACCCATCACGTTTGTATTGCGGCTAAAGTCGATCCTTTATTATACCGCTAGCGAAAATTGTTAAACAGGTGAAACAACCACTAAAGCCGAAACTAATGAAAATATATTATTATATTTTGAAATATTTTGTGCACACACCGTTGGCAACTAAATGCGTTTATAACGTGTCACTGCTCTTTCAGTCGGTACGCTCTTTAGTCTTTTTATGTCAAACCTCAACAATAACCGCGCGTGTCTCCGTGCGTATTATGTGTAGTCATAAATAACAATAGTATAATATATACAATTATATACGACTATTATCACCTATACCTCGTGGTCGTTTGATTGAACTATTTTAATTAAACATCATATCATTATATTAATCATCGACACAAAATATGATTTTGTAATCAATGTGCATATTAACATTATTGAATATGCCTACACAAATATAATACGACTCAAAAAACCTTCGTAGTCTACTTGTATGACAGTGGAATTTTTTTTTTAGGTGGGAGGAGGGATGGTTAAAATGACCTACACCTCGGAAGTCAGGTTTTGATTTTATTGGCCTATTATAATAGTTATTGTGTTTAAACTTTAAAGTAAGAATATTTTTAAATTTTCATTGATAAACAATGAATATTACTGTTAAAAAAAAGTCAAGTGGTCGATTTACGAGTGGTATCGTCGAAGGAGGGCTCAGCTCATTATTAATTGTACTGTATAATGCGAATTGTAACCTCCTCCCCACCTTGGTCGAGTTTCAGATAGGTAGATAAGCTATTATTATTTGTTGTTAAAAGTATACTGTCAAAATAAACTATAAAACAGGCGCGTACACATCATAAATGATATATTATATTACATTATATATTATACTATAATGTATTATAAGGCCAGGACTGATAATTTCGTTTACAAATCAAATTAATATAATACGGTTTTGTTTTATAGTGGGGAAATCACTCTGTTTTGATGGTTTTAACTTTTAAGCGTATATCTACAAAAACCAATATTACTTAAAATATAATCTATATAATTCAATATTTACCAAAACATGTACACAACGCAACGACAGTAAACAAAGCGCGAAACTACCTACAACGTTTATATAATAATAGAAATGAAAAGTTTTTTGGGTCAAAACTATTTATTAAATTTTATCGGAAACACATGTATCATTTGTACTTCATAGAATACATGTGTACCGTTTTCATATACTTTCACTGATTACAAAATTTGAAAAAAATTACTTTATTATGATATATTTATAACAAAAATCGCATATTATGTTTTTGGTTATGAAATAAATAAATTGCCTGAGTAATGAATACTACATTTTTTTTTAAAATCAAATTTAATAGTTAAAACTCTAAAATGTACCTACGCATCACAAAAATAATTGTAAAATACATGAGTAAAAATAGGTACAGTATAATAATATTATATTATACGTATTAATATATTATATTGTGGAAAATAATAAATGCAATTTTCCGTCACATTTATTATTCCCGCATTTCGTGTTTACGGTTCGAAGGATTTATGGCACGATCGTATAAAAGTACAAAGTGCAGTATAAAATATAATTACAATATTAAAAAGCTCAAGTGCCGCAATAGTACAACTGTATACAGGCAAGTATACACAATTCAAATCGAATATTATTATACTACTGTCGGTTGGGATGATTGGTACTGGGTATAATAATTGTATAATAAACTTGTTAGCGTATCGACTGTCGATGGATAAAACAACGAAAGGTAAAATGTTTTTAAATTGGGTCGTACGTACGTACCTGCATTCGTTTGCTTCAAACGGTTTTGTTTATCTATATTATATCGAACGAACAGAATTATCCATGTTTTAAACGGCAAAATTAAAAATATTCTATCATAATATTATATTATAAATATAGATAGGTACCTACGGCCGTTGTCGATAATATTATCATCTTCACAACATAATATATTATTATAATGTACTTTGTTAGTATAACAACATAATATAACACTCATCCCGCAGAACAACCGCTCTTATCGGCTTTGTCGGTTGAACTGCCAAAAAACAAAAAATAAATGATTCTTTAAGTATAGCGGTTGCTATTTTTACTTGCACTAGACAACATAGACCCTGTGTAGAGCGATATTAAACGTTGGTAGGTATAAAGGTACCTAATATCGGTCACTGCCGAAAACGTTTCACATCAAATGCGGTCTAAGTCAGTCGACTGTATGTATTTTGCAAGCATCCTCACCAATAATTTTTATCTTTAATAGTGTATTTATTCAAGCACTGATTTTTTGAATTCTTAAGTACTTTTACACTTTAAATACTATTATCTTCAAATACTCAGATTGTGTATGCCATTTATAGAATGTCCAGGGTTCAGTGGCAACACAAATTCATTTTTTTTTCAAATGAAAACGCTTATTAATGTAAATTGGTCAACTATAAAATGTTAATATCAACTACAATAAATTTAAATTACCGTAGCTCTCATGTTTTCAACTGAAATTTAATTCGTTTTTCTTAAATTGCATTTTAAAAAATCATTTTTTGTTACTCATTATTACAGGATGTCTTTATTTGTTTTTTATATTATATTTGATTACGATTATAAGCAGAAAGCCAATAGGCGTGACAATGTAATTGATTTGGAAGTGTATAACTCTACTCGAGAACTTAAAAAAGCTTTATCAATAATGTATGTTTTAAATTTTTCAGATGAATCGGTCACATCGAATTTGTATAATATAATGCGATAAAAAAATACAATTTATTATTCTGTCGGGTAGGTAGGTATAATGAACCAAATGTGGCAATTCATAATAATTTGATTTAAACAAAATATCTAGAAAATACCATTTTAAATACTCAATACATTTCTGTATAAAATATTATTTAAAACTACCCATATCTACTATATATCTCTGTTTAAACATACAACTAAAAAAAAAAAACCGCAACAGTACAACATTACTCAAGCATATATTTATTGATAATAGATTATTTTTCTAAAATAATTCTATAGAACTATACATTTTAAATAAACAAAAAACGTATCTACAGATAACTCAAAAGTTATGCTAAATTTAAACTTAGAAGCATACTATTCATTGTGATTACCTTAAGGTTTAGGTAATACCTCAGTGAAGAGAAATACTAGATTTTTTTTTCATACTTCTATTAGTATGAATTTGCATACAATATTTAATTCTAACAATATTATTGTAATATCAATAGCTTAAAAAACTAAAAGTAAACATATACATTATACATATGGAGGACATTTTAAATTAATTTAATAATTACTCCTTTATATTATTGTAGCTAATGAACTGTATTGTATGTTTTTATATTACATTTATACATTTCTTAAAAAACTCTTAGGAAAAATAAAATTGTGAATCAAGCTTAATTTGCAATATGTTGTGTGTTTAATAGTTAAAGCAATAAATTAAAAGAAACGCAGGCATGAGGCTCATGTGCGTTCAAGAAAAAAAAAATATAGTGTTATTGCTTGTGATCCTAATGGGGCAGTTAACGTCTGAAAAAGCAACGCTGAACTATATTTTGGGTTTAAACTAAAATAAATCATTTCAAATCATTAGAAAACCATTTGTTGTCTAAGTAAAAACTATTGTTCCAGTAAGATATACTTAAACCTTACAATCATGGAAAATCATAAACATATGTAATCAAAGAACTAAAATGTATTAATTACATTTGTTCAGGTTAAATATAAAAATTTGAAGACATTTCACTTAGAAATGCATCATTATTTATCATTAATGTTAAAACTACTGGCATTTAAATATGTTGATAAAGAATTATACTCGGAATTATATAAATATGGATATCATAATATGTTTAATATTTAATTCCTTTTCACTAACCAAACTCAATCACAATGAACAAGAAAATAGAATGTTATCGAAAAACTCAAAGTTAACATTAAAATAATAAGATAAGAAAAAAATTAACGACGGAGAATGTTTATAATTCATCACACGTGTATTATAATTGAAATAAAATTCTCTATGCAATTATGGACTAAGCAATTATATTACATACGATATTTTTATTGAAGCGCTCTTAAAAGAGTGAAATAAGCAATGATTATTGGTAATCCAATGATTAAGACAAGGAATAAAATAGTTTGTAGTTAGAATGAACATTAATTACGAATGATAGAAAACTCTAAAAAAAAAGCATTTGATACAAAATGTACAATGACTTGGCACAAATACATTTGATGGAAAACTGTGAAGAATAAAATATAATATGCAGTAATTACCATAAAAATCCGATCAATCAAAACTATATTTTAAGTGTCAATTATTACTGTGTTGTGTATAGTTAAAGTTTTAAATTTAAACATTTTAAATTTTCCCCTGAAACAGTGCATAGGTATACAATTTTGTTGTATAATA